AAGCCTTTGCAAGTTCCTTCAAGTTCCCTCTTGCAGGTTTATAAGTTAATTTCATGTACTCTTTGATTGTTATAAGCTTAATCTCTGCAGAAACAAGTAGTCCAATTGTTCCTTGAGACCATGGAATAGCATAGAATAAGTCAGAGTACTCGTTATCTTTTGTGGCTCTAACTACACGCCCATCTGCAAGAACTACTTCCAAAGCAACGATAGTATCAGAGAAAAGACCATATATATGTGAGCTTCCTTCAATGCCGTACCCATTGATTAGACCTCCAACGGTCAGATCATCAAAATCTGCAACAACAGAAAGAGCTAGATTCATTGGAACAGTGGCTCTTGTAATTTGGCCCATATTGACTTGAGGTTCAAGCTTAGCAACCATTCTTTCCTTGTCAATACAGAGAATATTTTTAAAAGCTGAAAGATCAACGGCAAAATGTCGTGCGCGTTTATAATCAACATTGCGCATGCCAACGGCTATATATGGCTTTCTGGCTGTGCAAACAAGGCCATCTTTCTTGGGATTTCTTTGCTTCAGACGATTCACAACTTTTCTGAGATTTTCTTCGTGTTCCTTCTCACGTTTTTTGTCTGATTTCGTTGCAGAGATTAGTTCACCGAGGTAATTAAGGAAGGAGATGGTGGCAGAAATTGGAAGGACGATGAAGATGACGAGTATCCATCGGAATTTAACTAAATAGTCTGCTATGTCTTTCTTCCTTTTTGGTCGCAGAGGGGTCTGAAGATCTGCCATGGCTGATGACAAGAAGAGGAGAAATTAATCAGAAAACAAAAGAATCAGCAAAGCAATAGAACTGTTTGGAAATTATAATTATTTGCGCTCATATATTGTATGAGTTTCATGCAAGTCAAACCTTCAGAAACCAGCGGTTACGGTTCAGAAAATAAGCTACACATTTCTGTTGAGGACTCTTTATATGACTTTGATTTTTTGTTTTCTAACTCTTAGGATTATAAGTAATTATTTAAATTTATTTAAAGGGCTGTTTGGTGGGCTGGAAAGGAAATGAAATGCAAAAGAAATAGAATATAAAAAATATATTTTTTTTTGGAGTTGTTTGAACGAGTGTAAAAAGATTGTATGATTTTTTTTTTTTTGAAGTAAAATGAATGCAATGTAAAGTTTAAAAAGGGTGGTGATTAATTGTCAATATTGACTGTAGTGGTGGCTAGAGGCGGCAGGTCACCGAAAATGGTGGTGGCTGACTGTAATGGACAGAGGCCAGTGATGGTGGGCAGCGGTGGTGGCGATGATAGTGGTCGACATCGGTGGTCTCGGCCCACGTGACGGCTAGCAGCTGGCGGTAGACAACATGAATGACAATAAATTTATGATGTATTTAAAACTCACCTAATTCTAAAAGATTCCATTGCACTTATTTTACTTAAAATCAAATATCAATATTCTTAAAATTCATACATTTTAAACTACTTTATACCTATTTTACTTAAAAAACTCACTGCTCTAAATTAAATGAATCAAATGTCTGAATGTAGTATTGGTGACCCGGACGCATTTAATAGACCTGGAAAGAAAGGAAAAAAGAGAACTTGAAAGAAAAATTTTAGCTCTATTTTAAATTGAATTCTTTAATTAGCATAAATATCATAATCAACAACAACAACAGCAAGACTTTATCTCACTACGTGGGGTCGGCTACATAAATATCATAATCAAAGGGGAAAAAAAGGCTAAATATATGCTAAGAAACTACAACCCTCTTTAAATATAGAATTGTAAAATAAGAGCCTATTTGTGCAGAAATTATTATGTGCAGACGTTGAACACCGTCCAAAGATCTCTCAGTGCCACGGCTCGATATTGTTGATGTGGTTCATTCTAGTTGGTCTTCGGATGTAGAGCTGCATTCGACTTCTGCACAAAGACAATTTTTTCATTGTTTTATTTTTTTACCGCTATATAATTTCATTTTATTACTATTTTATTGCTATTTTTTAGTAATTTTTTTAAAATTTTCTATGAAGAAAATTTATTTTTTACAATCAAATTCACTAATGTGTGTTGAGGAAATAATTATATTTTTGAGATGTCAATGAACTTAAAATCGATCTAATCCATATATATAAATATGTACTTCATCATAAATATATTTGTAATTATAAATACATGAATAAAAGTATAAGGCTTCACTTATGATGACATTTTTGTTGTTTCTTAAAGCAGTCTTTTAGTTAAAAATTTAAAATTTTTATGCTAAAAATTGTTTTAAGAATCAACAAAAAATTTGTCTCAAATAAAGCCTAAATCTATACATGCATACATAAATATAAGGACAAAATTCTCAATCATCAAGATATTATCTGCTTTGATTTTGATGGCCATAGGATTATGCCCTTTTAATGTAATATAGCTTTATGATTATGGCTTCGTTTGGGATGGCTTTTTTACTGTTTTTTAAAGCAGCTTTTTTATACTAAAAAATTGTTTTAAAAAGCACTAAGAAAGTTGTCCCAAAAGAAGCATATGTCATCCAAGGCATATGTGCTCTCATATGAGCATGCTTAACCTTAGTGACAAAGTTGTGATTAAGGCACATAATCCATTACTGAGGTATATTCACAAGCTATATCGCGATCTTAGTAAACAAATCGAAATGAGAGAGAGAGAGAGAAAAAAAATCTAAACAAAATCAAAATCCTGATGGCAATTATGGAAGATTCTGTTTTTAGCATCCTACCTCAGCTGATCTAACCGGAACTTCACCGGCGGCGAATGTCCGCCGGCGCAGAGAGATTTACACCCAGCGGCAGGAAAAGCGGAAGGTTGGATTCAGATAATGCGCCATGGTTTTAAGCCAAGGTTTCAATTTATAGACGGTGGAGTTTCAGTTCCAGTTATGACTAAGGCTTCGTTTGGGACGATTTTTTTACTGCTTCATGAAGCAACTTCTTAGCATAAAAATTAAAATTTTTTATTAGAAAACTGCTTCTTATATATATATATATATATATATATATATATATATATGTGACTCAGGCCCTCGTGTGTCATTCTCAGCTTTATGCGTGCTTGGCCCACTTGGACCACCTTGGGCTTCATTTATTGCCTTTATGTATTTTAGTATTTTGTAAAGATTTTAAAATCGGACCGATCAATGAGTCGGAAAAATGAAAGATTAGAGGTTTGATGGTTCGACGGGGATTGAACTGGGGTCGAATCGGATGACATAATAAATACTTGTTATTTTTAAATATTATAATAATAACACAACTATCTCGTATGACAGTGTTGTCTCACAAGGAACATTACACTAGGAACAGGAGACGCCAAAATGGTGTCCGGCCGTTGGCTTATGGCTTCACGAACGAGTAGATTGCAGGAGACGTTGTTGCCTTGTTGGCTTCTAGGTTCATGAATGAGCAAGACGCCAAGATGGGGAGAGCGAAGTGCGAAGGAGCAGAGAAGTCGGGAAGAAGATAATCCGAATCAGGGTTTTTGTTTTTCCCTCTCTTGTATAAGCTTCACATTGTTGAATTGTAGTCGTCGAATCTCACAAATATTGAATCGGGTGATTATCAATATCCGGAAGCAGTTCGGCGGTCGAACCGACGGTTCAAGCTTGTCAAAGGCGGTTTTGAGCGAAACCGATTATATGTTGAACCATAACCGGACAGCCGGTAGGTTCGCAGTTCAACTGGTTGAACCAGCCGATTCGATTCGATTTTAAAAGCATTGGTATTTTGTTCATATTCAATTTATTCTTTTTTTTATATATAATCACATTGCATTATTTATTTGGTGATTTGTACTTTAGGTTATTTCACTTCCTATGACAAATTATAAAAAAATAATTTGAAATAAATTAATTCAATGGACAGAACTCCGGCGTCGTTCGAAATTCTGGCAAAATTCCGGCGTCTAGCAGAAATTCGGCGTCGTTCGGAAGTCCGGCAAAATTCCGGCGTCGGGCAGAACTCTGGCGGTGGTCGAGGAGGAGTTCTTCCCTCTTATCCTTCTCTTTTTCTTTTCTTCTTCTCTTCTTCTTGCTTGGGTCCCCCATCATGAGAAATGAGGGGTCTATTTCTATTTATAGATTTTCTGGAGTGGCATAGCTTGTAAATAGGTGTGAGATCAGGTGTAAATAGGGAGTGGTCGAATAGACAGCTGACAGCTGATATTGAATCCCTTGATCATGCACCGTTAGTCAGACATTTGAGATAGGTATTAATGATGTCGGAATTTGTGGATCTTGGCTCGTTGGATTTTTCTCGTCGAGCCACTCGATTCGACTATAAGTGTAAGTTCGGAGACCGTTTGGTTACTCAAATTGTGGTACGAACTTTCCAACACACTTCGGGTGCTTGATTTGGATCATTTGGGTCGGATTGAGTTTAATTTGGTGTCGTTGGGTTTCGTATTTCGAGACGCTCATTTTGACTATAAGCTTGCTGAAATCGGAGTTCAGATGCTCCCGAATTTAATTTTTGAATTTCCAGCTTGATTTTGCGGATGAGTTCCCGATCAAAGAATATATCAGACTACTCAATACTTCAGCATACCTTGAAAATGTTGGCTTGTTAAGTTTCATGTGTTGTGTTGCATGCCACTCATCGTTATCAAGTCATGCCATCGTTGATGCTCATTTCATGCCTATCTTATTTGAAAATTCCCTTGCATTCATTCCACCACTAAGACATTAAGGACCAACACTTGCATGCTTCAGTTTCTTTTGGAATAGCTTTTAACCATCATTTTTCGCTACTTTTCAAAAAAAATATTAAAAAATATTTATGCAAAATAATAATAAAGCTATTCCAAATCGAAGCCTTCATTAGTTGGGCCGTCGTCATCACTAACATAATCTTTAAGATCAACTAAAGTATCCTAGTGGCAATATTGTTTAAAAGGTCATGAATTTATGTACTGACTTTATAGGTATAAGTTCGCAAGTAAGCACTGCATCAATCCCTTCCACCTCAAAAGAAACATGACAAGATTCAGAATTTTCACGATAACATGCGAGTTTAGAAGTTCTCCAATCACGATAGATCGAGTAGTCTTTGTAACAACGACAGTGGCTTTTCTATGTTGTTGCGTCCTAAATATTATGGAGGTAGAGAAATTATAAAGTTTAACACTTAGGTTTGTACGAAAATCTAGCACACAATCAAATAAAAGAGATGGTGTAGCGTTTTTAAGAGATACCAGAGTTTTTACGTGGAAACCCCAAAAAAAAAGGGGAATACCCCACAGGGTCTGGTCCAATTTGAATGATCCACTAGAGTTTGCAGTTGATTACAATGAGGCCCTTCCTTAGGGGGAAGGCATTGACTAAATTTAGCAAATATATAACATATAGAATGCATACATTGTGGACATTGGAAGAATCTTATTGACATATTCATTTTGTCGGCAAGGATCATAGTTGAGACCATAGTTGGCGAGCGACAGAGGTCGAAAAGACCGTAGTCTGGCAATGGAGGTCGAAAAAGACCGTAGTCTGATAATAGAGGTCAGAAGGGACCATAGTTGGCGGACGACAAAGGTCGAAAAGATCGTAGTCTGAACAACATATCATAAGGACTATAGTCTACGGGTGACAGAGGTTGAAAAGATCGTAATATGGCAATGGAGGTCGGAGGATCGTAGTCGGCGGTTGATGGATGTCGGAAAGACCGTAGTCTACCAAAGGAGGTCAGAAGGGCAGTATGGCAACGAAGTAGGAAGTATCGTATTCAGCAGGTGACAAAGGTCGGAAAGATCGTAAGCTGACGACGGGGGTTGGAAGGACACATAGTCGGCGGGGGGTGGAGGTTGCAAGACTGTAGTTTAGCAACAACAGTCAGAATGATCATAGTCAGCATGTAACAAAAGTCGGAAAGACGTAGTTTGGCGAAGGAGGTCAGAAGTACCACAGTCGGCAGACGACGGTGGTCAGAAAGATTGTAGTCTGGTGATAGAGGCCGAAAGGACTGTAGTCGGGTGTGTGACATTGGTTCAAAAATCGTTTTTTTGACAACGGATGTCGGAAGGATCGTATCAGCGCACGACAATTGTCAAAAGATTGTTGTCTGGCGATGGTTATCTGAAGGATCATGGTCAGTGGGTGATAGTGGTTAGAAAGACCATTGTTTGGTGATCGAGGCCAGAAAGAATCGTATTCAGTGGATGACGGTTGTTTAGAAAGATCGTTGTCTAGTGACAGTTATTGAGGGGAAGTCTGACGATAATCGTTTGTCAGAGTAAGTCCGATGACAGTTTTGGCGACAATTAGTTAGTTCGGTGTCAGTGGGTGGCCGGACGGAAGTCCACGTCAGTCTGTAGCTGGTAGAAGTCCGGCATCAGTGGGTAGTCGGGCTGAAGTTCGATGTTCAATCGATAGCCGGGCAGAAGTCTACGACGTTCGATGGTTGAGGAGTTTAGTGGCAAAAGAAATTTAGTTTCTCTTTCCTTCTCCGTGCCGTGCTTTTCCTACTTCCTCCTCTTCCATGATGAATGGGGGGTCAGTTTATAATTTTCTGAGAGCTACATGGCCAGTAAATTAGGAGGGAGATCAAGGTACATTGGTATTTTGTTCAAATGAATGGCCGATATTGACATCTTGATTGTGGACCAGTTCCAGGCATTTAACAATCTTTTGATATCAAAATTTGACGATCTTAGGCTCGTTGATTTTTGTCGTCGAGCCGCTCGATTCGACCATAAACATGTTACGTTTGGAAACCGGCCGCTCGATTCGAATAAACATGTTACGTTTGGAAACGCTTATGGTCACCTAGTTTTAAGTAAAACCGTCCAAATGTGCTTCAAGTATCTCTTTGAATTGACCCATTTGGCTCAATTGAGTCTAATTATGTGTTTCGTCTCTTCGAGACATTCAATTTGACTGTAAGTTTATTAAGATCGGAGTTCAAATTATTCCAAATTTAATTTTGAAATTTCTAACTTCATTTTGCCTGAGGATCACGCTCGATCATAATTAAAATTTTGAGGAATATATTAAATGTGATGCTCAGAGGAAATATGACGTAGAACCTTGGAGTGACTGAAACACAAATCAGATCTAGTTTGTGTGTTTATATGCTGAAGATTCGAATGATTGAATACGGGTTCAACTTTAGGAGGGAAGCAAAGGTAGAGCAGCTGCCAATAATAAGAATCTTATGGTAATTTTGGCAATCTTGTCTTGCTCATTACAATCATCTTCTTCCCAAAAAACCCATGAATTTGGAGCTATACAGGCAATTCGAAAGCTTTTCACAGTATGCAACACATAGGCTATGTCAGCAAGCGCAAAAAGAAGTAATTGCAAACAGTGAATCCCAGTCCCTCCTTCTTCACAGAAATTATTACTTGCCAACGAGTCATTATGTCTGAATTCTACAATAAATACTGACAGAATGTACCTTTCACAGTGGGTGCACATCTATACTACTATATTACAAATTACAAATATATACATGATATGTTACAACTTATATACTAATATACACAATTTACCCACAAAAATTGGTTTTGGTAATAAACCTTTTTTTTTTCATTTAACGAGTAATAACTTATACACAGTGTGTACAGAACATATGTCATGTATTTTCATCCGGATCCGCAACGAAATTTTCTCCTTCTTACACATACAAACTAATACATTTAGAATGGCTCAAGTTATTACGTTCCGGTGTCACCGGATAGAAATAGTCCGGATATTCCTCTCAAAATTTGTCGCGTGGAATGTACCGTGTCAGAGAATTTTAAAAGTCAAGCGCGCCAAAAGTGCAGTTATACGTTGGATTTAGTCAAAAGCCAAAGTCAAAAGCGTAGTTAAGCGCACACAAAAGCATAGTCAAAAG